CGTTTGGTTGCGATCAAACGTTTCTACATGAGCTGCGGTTCATATTTCCTGGCTGCGGTCAGATGACATACTCTTGGGCTGTGGTCCACTGTTTGGTTGCGATCAAACTATGATGAGCTGCGGTTCATCGTTCGGTTGCGATCGACCCCTCCGTGTTGCGATACGGGGCAGGGTGCTGCGGGGCCGTGTCAGAGCTATATGCGCTGACCCTCATGTATGGGCATGCGATTGGTCCTGTTGCGCCAACAAAGTGTGCTATGTGATGAGATATGGATGAGTTGTGATTATGAGTATCTTAGGGGATGTGACTATGGGATTTATGCTGGGGATTGTTTATGTTGGGTTATGATTATTAATTGTGCTCAGCTTTATCTGTCTTGCCTGTTGTGGATTGTATACGCTTGTTATAACTATTGCTTGTGTCCAGCCTTATCTGTCGAGTCATTCCCGGTTTCAAAAGCTAGAGTTCGTAGGATATATCTTCATGTTCAAAATGGTTTTCGTATATCTATATATATATATCTATATGTATTGTATTTCAACGCGTTGGAGTGGGTTACCAGCATTTCTCGCTGAACAGATATATTTGGCTTTCAGGCACAGAGGATTAGAGCACTGGAGCGCGCTAGACTGGAACGTAGAAGTAGATTAGTTTCCCTTTCGGCCTGCGTGCCATGTTATGCATTTATATTTCGGAGGATATTAGTTAGATAGCCTGTGCACCTGGGTTCTCTAGCCCAGGTGTGGCATAGCACCCCGTACGCTTATGTTATACTTTGGGATTTAATGAGATGTTATCCTTGTTATATAAGTTTTAAATATCTTGAAAATCTGGGGTGTTACAGTGATAGTGCATAGTATATTGGTAGATATAGGGAGTTCGGTGAATGTAATGTACTATGATGTTTTCATGCAGTTGGGTCTGGCTAAGAACCAATTGAACGAGGTGCGAACCCACCTTTTTAGATTTATTAGGGACTCTATAGAAATAGAGGGATCTGCATGTGGTCCCACTAGTGGAAATAGGTACATCCCCCAACATTTGTAACTGGATATGGAATTCATCGTAGTGAGGCTAATGTGCGCACATAATGTCATCTTGGAACGATCGACACTAGGGGACCTCAAAGCAATAGTGTCGATGGAACACATTTGCATGAAGTTCCCCACTCCGGATGAAGTAAGAGTTGTTAGAGGGTACCAAAGAGCAGCCCAAAGCTGTTACTTGAGGGCATGCAAGAAAATTGACTAAAAGGACTTGCGGGTCCACACCATAGTAGATAAAATATTCAAGGAAGACGAAGCTTGGCCCCGCGCCGAGCCCGTGGCAGAGACATAGGACATAATACTAGACCCTCATAAATATATATATATATATATATATATATATATATATATATATATATATATATATATATTAAAATATTTAATTTTTAAAATTAAAAAATACACTAATTTAAGATTTTGATTAAGAGTTGATCGGGGACGGGAAGTTCCCGTCCCCGCCAAATTCTCCGCGGGAATGGGGATGGGGACTATTTTCAATTTCCCGCTGGGGATGGGGACGGAGACGGGTACGGGGAGTATACTCCTTGCCCCAGCCCCCGCCCCGTCCCAATACCATCCCTAGTATCAACAAATAGTCATGCATGAGGATGACGCGTAGAGATCGACTTTCACCACCTTAGAATGAGTATTCTGCTTATCTGCTACTTGGTCATGGCCTTTGGCCTAAAAAACTTCGGGGCCACATACACTTGTATGGTGACAAAGTTATTCAAGACAGTACTTGGATGGAACATGGAAGCTAATGTGAACGACATGATCATCAAGAGCTACAAGGCCGCTTCCCACGTAGAGGATTTGAATGAAGTATTTCCAATTATGATATGAAAAGATTTAATTAGCGTCTGAACCCAAAAAAATGCACATTTGCAATATAAGGAAACAAGTTTTTGGGCTTCATGGTCTCTGGGAATGGGATAGAGCCATGCCTAAAAAAGGTAAGGGACATCCTTGACATGGAACCCCCGCGATCCATCAGTGAAGTCAAAAGGTGTTGGTCCCGATAGGGTGGTAAAAAGTCTAGAGGGGGGTGAATAGACTTTTTAAACTTTTTCACAATAAATAACTCTTTGGTAACTTCAACTCTAAATAACAAGTAAATAGAGAAGTATTTAACTTAAAGTGCACAGCGGAATAAATATGTGTAAAGAGTTATGCCCAATCAATAAATTGAATCACATGCACATGTTAGATAAGCTCAGATGATGTGTAAAGATGATATGAATATCTTGAATATTTAAAGGAGATAGTACACTCAATATTTAACAATAATATTTAAGATTGTAAATAAGATTTCGTGTCACGTCAACTGTATGATGAATGTCACATGTAACACGTTAAACTTGCTTAGAATAATTCAAGTGTTAAGCATGGAAAGTTTGAGTTACATGCATACGTGAAAGCACACTAAACTCAAAAGATTAAGATAGACAGTGAATAGTAAACGGGTTAGTTAAATAATAGATAAGTAAAGCGAGTTAAGTAAGTGTGGTATGTAATGAGAGAGGCAATTTATAGTGGTTCAGAAGTGACGTAATCTTCCTAGTCCACTTTACTCCATTCACTTCTAGGAGTAATTCACTATTTTCCGCACACAGTTACAATAGTGAATAAGCGCTACACAAGCACTTCTTCCGGATGTCTTGCACACAACTACACCCAACTTCGAGTGTCTCGCACACAACTACACTCAACTACGAGTATTTCGCACACAGCTATACTCAACGCCAACTAAGTGTTTTGCACACAGCTACACTTAGCAACTACAAGTGTTTTGTACACAGCTACACTCACTAGAGTATCTTGCACACAACTATACTCTTTTTACAATTACAAATACAAAGGTAATTGTATCTCTCTCCAACTAATTTTGAGACTATTCAGACTAAGTCTCTTTTCTAGTTATTTCAATGAATATTTGAGCACTTTGTATATCTAGAATTCGCACTTGTTCATCTGTGTTGTATCTTCAAGTCTTCATGGCTTTTTATAGACAATCAAATATATTCGTTGGAGCGCGATAATTTGATATTTGAAATTTGAATCTTCATAACCTGATATTGTTGACAATAGTAGGTCTTCAATTTTGATTTGATTGTCAACTTGCCTGACAAGATAATATTTTTTATCTCAACTTGATTTTCAAGTTGTTTCTAAAAATTATTATCTTCTTCATCATTTTCAAATATCCAACGTCTATTAACAATGAATTCTTCTGACATGATTTAATTTTTAGGATAAGATTCCCTATTGTTCTGATCATGTCCTCAGGAAATTTGGATTCTTGTGGCATGTGGGATGAATCAAAATAAATTCTTTCGAATTTATCTATTTTCTGATCATCTTGTTTCTTTGCCACATTTTGCTCCTTAAAAGACACATTGTGCTCCTTTGGATACATCTTGCTTGTTAACAACATTGTGCTCCTTTGGATCTTGCTTGTTTGACCTCGGCACTTATTGCTTGTTTGACTTGACACATCGTGCTTTTCTGATTAGGCCACATTGTGCTCCTTAAGGCACATCGTGCTTGTTTGACATTGTGATCCTGGGGCACATTTTGCTTGTTGTCATTGTGCTTGTTTAAGACCTCGTGCTACTTGGGCACTTCTTGCTTGTTGACATTGTGCTTGTAAAGACATCGTGCTCCTTGGGCACTTCTTGCTTATTGACATTGTGCTTGTAAAGACATCGTGCTCATTGGGCATTTCTTGCTTGTTGACATTGTGCTTGTAAAGACACCGTGCTCCTTGAGCACTTCTTGCTTGTTGACATTGTGCTTGTAAAGACATCGTGCTCCTTGGGCACTTCTTGCTTGTTGACATTGTGCTCCTTGGGCACTTCTTGCTTGTTGACATTGTGCTCCTTGGGCACTTCTTGCTTGTTGACATTGTGCTCCTTGGGCACTTCTTGCTTGTTGACATTGTGCTTGTAAAGACATTGACTTCTTGCTTGTTGACATTGTGCTCCTTGGGCACTTCTTGCTTGTTGACATTGTGCTCCTTGGGCACTTCTTGCTTGTTGACATTGTGCTCCTTGGGCACTTCTTGCTTGTTGACATTGTGCTTGTAAAGACATTGTGCTCCTTGGGCACTTCTTGCTTGTTGACATTGTGCTCCTTGGGCACTTCTTGCTTGTTGACATTGTGCTTGTAAAGACATCGTGCTCCTTGGGATTCTGACTTGTAAAAAATAAAAAATAAGTCCTTGGGAGAGGGGGGGGGGGGGGGGGGGGGGGGGGGGGAATTGACCTCAAGTGTGATTGTTTATGAGTAAGAACATTTACCATTTCACCATTAGGCTCATCCTGTCATTTGTTGTAACGTCATTGTTTAATACTTTCCCGGATGAATACTTGTAGGACCAAAATTAATTCTCCAAATTAATTTTGTTCTTCGTGTGGTAGATTTTCCTTTGCATACTGACTTGATATTCTGAGTTATGATGCTTGTACTAAAGACCTAAATTCTTTAAGGGGGTCTAAAGTACATTTGACTCATCAAAACTTTATTACAAAAATATTCCTATCAAAAGGCTCAATGTTCGAATCTTGTCTAAATCGGTCAAACGGTCCCTCCCTTTCTTCCAAACCTTGAAGAAAAGTATGGGGTTCGAGTGGACCTCAGAATGCCATGTAACCAACCTCTAGAAGAGGGTAAGTTCGCAAAAAAAAACAAAAAGAGTGGAAAGAACCCTACATCATTATAAAAGTTTTTTGCGTAGGTACTTACACGATGAAAATAGTAAGATCTAAGATGGTTGATAAGGTGAAAATTTTGGAACACTTAATAAAGTATTATCAATACGTTTTATATTGTAACACCATTGTCCATCTATTGATGTAAGTGTTAATCATGGTCTGCCCAAATTATTTTATTGAATAATCTTGTTACTTTCAAAAACATCATACGCTTTTATATTTTCAAAAAGTCACAGTGTCAAACTTCCGAAGTCTTACCAAAAACAAAATATCAAGCCAGTGCCACGCCTCGACCAAGCAGTTAAGGCCGTAGCTAAGCATGAAATTTATTTTGTAAGTATCAAAATTGTTCCTAGTACGGATAAATCTCAAACTACATATAAATTTTGCTACTTATCACCTGAATGTCCTCAATCACTATGTTCTCCAAAGGACATGTGGCAACATGTGTAAGAAGCCAAATTGAGAAGGTCAGTGATGGGACGGGTGGTGAATGGGACCTGATGGATCATTATTGGTGATCACAGCTCCTTCTACATCTTTGTTGGCGTCCCGATCTGGATTCTCCTCTATCTCCTTGGGCAGACCCATGGCAACCAGATCAAAGTCTGGAATCTTTTCGTGCAGCACCGGATAAATTTGTCGCTGCATTGAGTACATCCCGATATCGATCGAATGCTAATTGAGCTTCAGCCTCAACTGCTTCTTGGCCCTCCTTAGTCCCCAGAAACTCTTTGATGGCCTCAGGATCGCGCATGTAAGTCATCACGTCTTCCTTGTACCTGGTGGAACGCTTGTAGGCCTCCTCTACCTTATTCAGGGCCACAGCATGGGACTCCGCCAAAGCAGCAATTGTGGTTTGGTGATTCTCTTGCGTTTGCTTTAAGTATTCTACGAAGTACTGGTGATTCTTCCTCAACATGCCAATGGCACCCTCTTTTGCCTTTAAGGCATCTTCACGTGCTTGGAGGAGCTCCTTGAGGCGTTTGTTATCCTCAACAATTTCGCGAAACACTCGCTCGATCATGTTGCGCATGCAAAACTTGTCCCGCTAACATGGCCTACACAATGATGAGATGAGACATGTATGGAGTAAGTACTAAAGAGCAAAATGATATATGATATAACTAACCTCCAGGGCATGCTTGAGATAGAGATTATATAGTGAATCCACATCCATGGCAGCCAAGTAGCTCACGTCTGCAGAAGGGGTAATTTGAGCAGCATACTCCCTGATGTCTATACCTTCGCTTATCAAGGACGGTGCAGGAGGCACATCCATTCCAAGCTGAATCAGATTGGTTCGGGCTCGTATAGTGTGTTTCAAAGACAATTCCAACAACTGCTTGAAGGAATGGATAGGGTCTGCAGAAGGGCCAACAGCCGCAAAGGGTTGAATAGGAGCGGGGGCCCCTCGTTGCGCTGGTGGGGCATGCGTCACTCATTCACTTGTTACCTCTTTATTTATCTTTCTTCCCCTTCCCTTGGGAGCTTTCAGTCTTACTTTTTTTGGACGGAGGATTTTGAGAATGTCTAGACATATATCGATCTGATCTGGAAGACATGTTACCTGCAAAATATGACCACATGGTTAGAGTCAAAAAACAAAAATGGAAGGCAAGGGAGCATGACATCAGCATAGGGGCGTGGGCCCAGAGGTTGAGGAAAAAAAAAAGGGGAGGGGGGAGTACCAAATGGCTCAAGAAACCAGCTATTGTTGAGTAATGGAGGTACTAGTGATCGAAATGGTTGGTTTAATCAAAACATGTAAATAAATTATACTCTCTCTATCTGGTTTGGTTAACGAGACTTGACTGGAGTTATTTTTAATTCAAATTTTCATATTATTAAGTTTAGTGTTAGTATACAAAATTTATATATTTAGAAACCACACTAAAAGACTATTAAACATTAAAAAAAATCAAATTTAAAAACGAGTAAAAAATACTAAAGAAAATAAACAAAGAATAAAGAGTTTGTTTGACCAATGAATAGTAAGTAGGACAGATAAAATAGGACAGAGAGAGTATTATTTTTGTTGTAAGTTATTCAAATCTAATAACAATACAAGAGCCTTAGCAATTGATGAATTTAGGGATTCGAAGAATCTTAGTGAACGACTAAAATAAAATGAGAATAGCATTGAATATGTGACTAACAAGACAATTTGGAATGAACTAAAAATAATATTTAAGTAATAATCAAACTATTGATAAAGATTTACAACATCAAATTTCAAAAGAAAAAAAGATGGTGAAGAAAAGTTTTACAACGCATACAATTTCTATTATAAAATCTCTTACAAAACATAATTCAACTTCTTGAAGATCTAATGAAAACTTTATTATGATAATAATGACAAATTTTTGGGGTTGATTGAGATGATTGCAGAATTTGATGTGATGCGATAATGCAAAATCATATTAGACACATTCAAAATCAAGAAATTCATCATCATTATCTTGGTTACAAAATTCAAAATGAGTTAATTTATGTTTTGGCCCAAAGTGTTAAAAGTTCTATCATAAATATTATTAAATTAAAGAAGCTATTTTTTTTTTGTAACAAAATAAAAAATAGAGGAATACATTTTAGAGTTTTTAAAAGTGGACAATACATCTACTTTTGGAACTTTTTAATTGTGAGATGCAATTAACGCTCTACAGCTTAAAATTTATTATGTGAGGGCTCAAGGTTATGACAATGGTTCTAATATGAAAGGAAAACACCGAAGATTCAAAAGCAATTACTTGAAATAAATTCGAGAGTGTTTTATTTGCCATGTGTTTGTCATAGTCTTAATTTTACTATTAGTGATATGACACATTCTTGTATTATAGTAGTTTCATTTTCTTGGAGTTATGCAACACAGGAACACATATATGCTTTATTTTCAACTTCTCCTAAAAGATGAAAATTTTTACTTGATAATGTTTCAAACGTAACTGTGAAATCATTATGCAATACTCGGTGGGAGAGCAAAATAAATGGCTTGGCAATATTGTGTGCAAGGTTGCAAAAGGGGCTAGGTGCTAGTCGAGCACCTAGGGGCACCTTGCGCCTAGGCAGCTAAGGAATAATAAACAAAAAACATAGTCAGTTTTCCACTATTCCAGCATCATTCTGTGTGCAGGTGTGCAATTTTTCTGCTCAGCCTCGTCGTCACTAATTTTCTTGTTAGCTGCTAACGAGGAAGAGGTGACGACAACGTACAGGCATGCAACAAAGGCGCAAAGCAAGCGATTGGCGACGACGAGGCTGAGCAGATGTGTGGTTGTGGAAAACAGTAACAACAATTGGAGGAGGCAAGGAACATACTGCAAGAGACGAGGAGAAGACGGCGGCGCTGAGCTCTGACTGGTCTGTTGTGGACAACGTTTTTTTTTTTTGTTTGTTTTTTTATTGGTTTTAGACGATTTTGGAGGGTTAGGTTTTTTTTTTTTTTTTTTTTGGCTAGAATTGGAATATTGGTTTTTCTTCCCTGCTCAAAACAATGTTGTTTTGAGCAGGAAAAAAAAACAATTTAAAGAAAAAACAAAAAAAAAACAAAAAAACTTGGACAAGTTGGGCGCCTAGTCGGCCGGCCGACTGACAAGCGCCTAGGGGTGTAATCTCCTCGGCCGCCTAGGCCAATTTTCACAACACTGATTGTGTCTTGAGAAAGATATATTACACAATATTAATCTTGATGACATTATTGACAATTTTGCATCTAGGAAAGCACAAAAAAGTTTTCTTTCATGATTAGTTTTGTATTTGTAAATTGTTGAAAACTTTTGAATTTTATTTTAAATTATTTGACATTAGTATTTGTGTACTCATGTATTGAATTTAGAATTTGGTTATAAAAAATTATGTTAACTCGGTATATAGTATAGGGCTTTTATATTTATTCCCCCGGGGTTATAAAATGATAGGACCGACCTTGCCTTTAAGAGTCCAGGGTCATGAAATGCCAAAAGCGATTCAACTGTGCATCAAAGGCTTTCTGCAAGAAAAATTCAGCATCCTTCCATTAATTTATGGTGAAGGAAGCAAGTAGATGTTTTATGAACTATGCAGTTGGCATTCCTATAAAACCAGAATAAGGAAATCCTGAAGCCTAAGGTGATTGAAGTGATGAGGCTAAGTTTTCATTATAAAATATATGTGCTGAATGTAATATTAATATAAATATCTACGTTCAAGTACAGGATTTAGCAATTTAGGAGGTCATATTTAGAATTGAAGATGTTATGGTCTTTAATGTTAAAATGTGTTTAGACATGATATCCTCAATATGGTATAAGGAAAAAAATCAAGGAACAATAACCTCGTGTACTTTGTTTGTAAGAGGTGCTCGGGCAGGGTATGGTTTTTCATTCCATAAATGGTGGAAACCATAAGCAACCCGAGCATCAATCTTGTGTAAGACACATTATTTTATCACTTCATAAATTTTTACAAACATAAGGAAGTAAATATCAGCACAAGTAATTGACAACAATATGGGCAGACAAAGATTCCAAAATGTATAAGATTTATTTGGTATTTTTTCAGGGTGTATTAAAGGTTTGTGTTATAGAATATTCTGTTTGATTGAGTATCCCATATTTTAGGAAACTAAATATTGGCATACCATATCAGTTTAGAATCTGCTTGTATTTAAGGAGTGGTTGACTAACCCTAGAGACACACAGAATGAGAGAGAGCTACACAGAGGTATGCTTCTCACTGCTTTAACATGGTAACAGAGCCAGGGCGATAGTATTTTTTTTTTCCGGCGTCTCCTGTCCTCACCTCCGGTCCACCGCCACTCGTCGTCGTCCGGCGACAAATTAAATCAAAGTCAAAAGCTTTGCATTATAAAGAAATAGGTTTTATACAATTTTATTTAGCAATTTAAAGCAATATATGTTTTCTTTATCTCAAAACAATAAATAAATCAATTCATAGCAATTAGTACTTCCTATAGAAACTACAGAGAATTTGACAAGATGAAAATCATGGAAACTACATCCTCCCAAGTCCACACCTATACTTATAAAAATAAACAGCACAATAACATTCAAATATGTCATGCAATTGACTCCGTGTGTGATAGCCTCATAGCCACTGAAATATGATAGCTATCAACAAGAATTTCACTGAATGTTATTGTGTTGTTTGGCCCTATCACACCTCCGTGTGTGATAGCCCTATTGGGATAGATCCTTTCAACAAGAATTTCACTGAAAAATACTTTGTAATCTCTTCCAAGGGATAATTTCCCAACTAAAAGGTGATTCTCAATTAAATTCATCTGATTACCCTCCTTATCATCAAACCTAATTGCCAGAACACCCCTATGTATTTCGGGCTGCTTCTCTGCTATTCTATGCAGAGGCAATATCCCCCACTCCCAAGGCATTTCTACAACCACATGAAGCTCATTTAAACAACTGAACAAAGTTCATACCGTATCCCAGGCCATTAGTCCTACTCTGACCAGCACTCACAGCTCTATTACCCCCTACATTCGTCCTTTGAGATGGACCATTCACCCGCTCTAGAATTTACAGGAACACTCCAAAGTTATTCAAAACAGTATGATTCACAGTTCCCCATTACTCACAGCATTCACAGGACATATAGCATTATCTTTATTCACGAACTAGGAGTCACAGTATTTTCCTCAAAATTCATAGCAGTATTCAAATCAGAGGCATTATTCAAATCATATTCACAATATTCACAGAACTATTATAGTATTATTCAAATTTGCATTTGCATTTACCAGATTATCAACAGCATTACTCTGATTATTACCATTGTCCCTTAGATTTATTGCTATCATTATTGTTTTTGTGGATGAAACTATGAGTAGGGTTTGCGTTTTGGGGTTTGGATTTAAGTAACAATATATAACTTTGGAGATATCAAATAATGCCATTGCACAAGCAAAGCAAAACCCAATCTGACCTTAAAGACTTCTGCTGTGGAGATTCCAGCGATAAATGAACAGAGTCAACCAGCAACCTCAGAGCGCAGGAGCGCAGCTACGACGATAGACGAACAGAATCAACGATTGCATGGGACCACAAAACTGCATCTCCCTCCGGACGATACCTAAATCATAATTAAATTAATAGTTTCCCAAAATCCAAAGAAAATGCAAAATATTCCCCCAAATATGCAAAATCTGGTCCGACGAGTGGAAATGATAATTCTGATTTACAAACAATATGTTCAAGTACCAGGATAGCAATTAGCAATGTCGTTTCTTATATGCCCTTCTCGAACTCTTTTCTTCGGCGTTTGCTGTTTCCCTCTCAGTTTACTCGTTGTCTTTCCCTAGCGGCTGGCTTCCTGGTTTTCTTGGATTGCAACTCAAGCGGTTGCTGAAATTTGTACAATCCATTGGGTTTGCTGGGAATTTATATGTGCGCCCTAATGCAATTTTTTTTTTTTTTTGGAAATTTCGATAATTTGGGTTGGCGATTAATTTTCTTTAAAAAAAGTTTCATGTTCAAAAATGTACATAATTTTATACTAGAATACACATAATTGTATATATGAATGTACATAATTGTATAACAAAATACATATACTTTTTTTTTTAAAAAGATAAATAGATAATACACATAATCTAACATAATACATAATATATATAAACTTTTAATATAATACACATAAAATCTTAACATAATATACATAAATTTCTTGTTTCCGATGTATATAATTGTATAAAAAAATATACATAATTGTATAAAAATGTACGTAATTGTATAAACAAATACACATAAGTGTATAAACAAATACAAATAATCACGTCAACTCCCTACATAACTTACCAAAATAACGTCGTTTTGGGAGGCGCGGGGCGCACGGTGATGTGTGCTCCGTGGTGCAGGGTATAACGATTGGGGTTTGCTATTGTAGGCTTCATTATCAAGCGAAGTAGCAAACTCAATCGTTATATGGTAGACCATAGTCTACATTGCAATATGGACCCTGGTCCTATACTATGTCTTTTGAACTTTAATTTTAACGGGTATTGTTTATTGTTTAGTTCGTGTTACACAATTTTTTTTTTTACTGTAAAGCATGTATATGTATCTCGTGTTATGTGTTTTTGTACATCATGTTATGCAATTTTATACATTAAGCGTAAGGATTTTGTACTTGACACTGATTAGTTGTTGTATAACACAAAACATATTATGTGTCTTATTTTACGAATTTATGTCTTGTATTATGAAATATGTGCCTATAAGATATAAATTATTTACATAAATCAGATCTGAGAATAAGTAAAATAGAAAACATGTGCATATATCTCGTAGTAAAATAGAAAACATGTGTATGTATCTCCAAGTTCATTCTTCGAAAATCTCTACACAACTCATCTGCCAATACCAAGTAGCATTGATGGAATGCTTTGCCTTTCTACTTAATGTGTGTGCCACCACGTTAGCTTTACCCTCATGATACTGAATAATCTAGTCATAATCTTTGATAAGTTCTAACCATCGCCTTTGACGCCTATTCAAGTCCTTTTGGGTAAAGATATACTTAAGGCTCTTGTGATCAGTATAAATTCTACACTGAACTCCATACAATTAGTGTCTCCAAATCTTCAAAGCAAAGACCACGGATGCTAACTCCAAATCATGTGTAAGATAATTTTCCACATGACTCTTAAGTTATCTTGACGCGTAAGCTCTTACTTTACCATTCTGCATTAACACACAACCCAGTCCCTTCTTCGAAGCATCACTGAAGACCTCAAATCCATTTGTCCCGGACGACAGTGTCAAAACAGGTGCAGTAGTCAATCTTGTAACACCCCCGATTTTCAGAAAAATTTAAAACAATTAAAGCTTACGGAATAAGAATAAGTCTATCATTAATACCCAAATAAGCGGAAGTCAAATATAATGGCCTGTTTGGTACAATGTAGTTTGGCTGTAAAAGAATTGAAATTCAATGAAAGCTGAAATTACATTGTTTGGTTGGAGGGAATTGCAATTCAGCTAAATTGCAATTCCCTCCTTTTGCTGAATTACAATTCATGTCTCTACCCTATGAATTGCAATTCCATGCTTTGAGGAATTGCAATCTCATTATAAATTACCAATTTACCCTCATTATCATTATTATATTAATATTATATAAGAGCATTTTAGTATTTATTTACTTCTTCCCCCAATTCCCCATCATCATATTCCTTCCTACCAAACAATGTAATTTAAATTCTCACTTTATTCTTTTTCCACCGAATTACAATTCTATTCCCTCCTTCCAACCAAACGCCCTGTAATAGTGTGGGGGTGCTATGCCACATCTAAACTCGAGAACTTAGATGCACAGGCTACTAACTAGCTAATCATAATTCGTAAACATCATCCGAATACAAAATAGCTCATAGGCCGTCAAACTAAAGCTAATCACTAACTAAACTAGGAACCGCAGCTCTATCTAGCGCGCTCACAAGCCAACTAATCTGTACCTGTAAAAATGCGGTGTAGCAACCGTTAGCGAATAATGTTAAGTAACCCACTCCTACGCGTTGAGTACAATATATGTTTAGCTATAAGAAAACCATTTTGAGACTTGGGAATACATAATTATAGTCATAAACAACTCTAGTTTTCAAATCAGGATGAGGACTCATGACATACCATTAACATCGACTCGACACGACACATTACGATACAACCATGCAAACCATGACCACAAGACAAGACAACAATAAGAAACACAATAACAGACCAAGACCACAAGACACGTCCATGTTCCAACCTTATACCAAGTTCTAACCTTTAAGCCGCTCCAACCTTATATCAGTTCCAACCTGTACCTCCAAACCACCCTGTACTCCATCAGCCTTATCCCTCTGGAGCAATGCTCCCCTACAACATGACCTCCAACATACCACTGACTCTCAACATACACAGTGCCATTACATAAACCTGATTATACCGCAGCACAATAATCTAAGCACACGCAGTGCACATAACATAGGTACCGCACCACCGCAACATAAGCACACACAGTGCATCAAACCACCAACATATTTTTTTTACCACCAATCTCATATCTTTTCATCACCCATGGACATCAACACCACATTCAAGACTCAACAACAGCTTCATCGGATACCCAGGGAAAGGGAAAAACATACAAATAGACTCGCAACGACATGTGACATCAATCTAAACATACGACCTACGGGGAATAACATATACCATACTTTGGACCCACACAATACAAGTTTAAACCTCATGCATAAACACAACTCACAAATCCTATTTACGGTACTTAGGACATCATTCTAGACTCACAAACATCAAAGAAGACATTTCAGGGCACAGGGATCGACCAACGGAGACCAACCGAACACCGCACCGCATCGTACCAGCGGGTGGTACGGCGGGTGGACAACCACCCGCCGGCGGTGGCCACTGTTCCAGCGAGTGGTCCGGCGGGTGGCCGTCCACCCGCCAGCTACCCGCTGCAACGTCACCCGCCGTCCGGCGGGTGGTCGGGTGGGGGTTCGTCCCCCCACCGACTACCCGCTGGAACAACTCTTCCTTGGCAAATTTTCCACCTCGGGAATTCACCAATTTTGCCCAATTTCAAGTCCAAACCCACCCAAACTCACATCAACAATTATAGGGACTTGAATACACAGAATAACACAACGAACAACAGTAATGAACCCTAGACACAAGCTCTAGACATGCCCAAACACAAGAGTACGCATATAATTGTCCAAGAACATCAAGAATATCAAGAAACCACCATATAAACCCTAAATACAAGCTTTATCAATGCATAATCACAAGATAACACATACCATCATTTAACGAGACCAATAAATCATAACATAGCAAGGAAAATAGGTTTTGTAGGGACATGGTTACCTTTTAGCTTAATTAAACTTCTCACGACTCCTAAGATTCTTCCTCAAGGTCCTTTCCCAATCGGTCTTTCCTAGGCTTGGTGATGGGGAATTCTTTGACTATCTTTTGGGAAGGATTTTCGAGTGAGAGGGAGAGGGATGGGTGAAAAGGGTTCTAAACGCTTTCTAATTCCTCTTTAAATAGGTTAGAATTCCTAATACAAATCTGAAAGGGTAAGAGGTTTAGGATTCCTAATACAAATCTGAAAAGATAAGAGGGTCCTCCTTACTTTATCTAAAAGGCTAACGGGCTTTATTTTAGACAAAGATGCACGGTCCACCATGGACCATATCAATAAATTAAGGGATTTGGGTATTAAAATTATAGTTTATAAAATAATTAACCAAAGCCATAGTAACATATTTGGGTATATATATATATATATATATATATATATATATATATATATATATATATATATATATATATATATATATATACATATATATATATATATATATACACATATATATATATATATACACATATATATATATATACACATATATATATATATATATATATATATATATGTATATATATATATATATATAGCAAAATATTTAATTATAAGTAAATAGTTCTATTTGGATAATATTTATATTTAATATATATATTTAGAAAAATATGGGGTGTTACAAATCTCTTCGTTAATTCTTGAAAGGTTGTCTCACAGTTTGCATCCCACTTAAACGGAGTGACTTTCTTCATCAAATTTGTCAAGGGTTGGGCTATCTTCGCGAAATCCGGCACAAACCTCCTATAATAACTGGTTAAACCTAAGAAGCTCCTAACCTCCGAGACTGAAGTGGGCACTGACCATTCCATTACAGCTTGAATCTTTGTCGGGTCCACCAATATCCCATCTTTGGCTACAATATGACCCAAAAATGCAACACTGTTTTTCCAGAACTCACACTTAGACAATTTGGCATACAATTGTTTTTCCCTTAGCGTCTGCAGCACAATCCTAAGATGTTTTTCATGCTCGACAAGATCCTGAGAGTACACCAATATATCATCGATAAACACAATCACGAAGTCATTCAAATAGGATCGGAATACTCGGTTCGTCAAATGCATAAAAAAGCTGGAGCATTAGTCAACCCAAACGGCATCACTGTAAACTCGTAGTGACCATAACGAGTACGAAATGATGTCTTTGGAATGTCTTTACCGGCCACCTTCAACTGATGATACCCGGATCTTAAGTCTATCTTGGAGAATGTACCGGCTCATTTAAGCTGGTCGAACAGATCATCAATCCGGGGAAGGGGATACTTGTTATTGACTGTAACTTGATTCAACTCTCGGTAGTCGATGTATAATCGCATACTACCATCTTTCTTCCTAAATAAGAGTACCGGAGCTCCACATGGTGAAACACTTGGACGGATATAAC